TGATCAAAAATCTGCAGAAATAAAGAATACTGATACATACAATCGGCACTAATTATTAAACAGATTTTTTTTTTTTTTACTTTATTTTCTTATTTTTATTTTTTTACAGTACTGATTTTTTTTTTTTTTTTTTAGCAGTGTGTAGATTTTTCTTTTGCTACTATTGTCGTTTTCAGGAGTCGTTAGTTGTAGGAGTCATCGGTTGCAGAAGTTGTCAATTGTTGGTGCTATTACTATCTGTTTACACACGTTATCTGTTTGCTTTCATTTGAATAAACACTTTATTCTCATTTGTAGATGTAGATCTCGGTTTAGTCGGATTTGTTGGTGTCAGATAATTGGAACTTTTTATTGCATTCAGTATTATTAACGTTTGTTTTTTAGCTTGTTTAGGTGGATCTTCTAGTGATTTGCTACATGTTTCGCGGGCGGTGGGTTTTATTTGATGTTTCTACTTAGTACTTCAGTATTAACGCTTTTTTTTTTTTCTTTTACCATTTAGATGAGTTTTCTACGACATTTACGGTGGCTTGCCACATTGTTCGCGATGGGTTTTATATGATACTTTATAGTGGTTTTCTGACGGTTTTTTTTTGCGTGAATCTCTACACAGTACATTATTGTATGATTCGAACGTATACTGTTGTGTTTCGCCGTGGGCTTATACGTTGTTCTGTGGTAGTTTAGGATTAGTTTTCTAGAGTTAGTGTTAGAGTTAGGTTAGAGGTAGGATAGGATGATTAGATTTGCGATAGGGCTATATATTCAAAAGCATTGATGTATCATATATACTTAAATAAATTATCCAGCTTGCATTTTTGATCAAGTTCTATAGACCACAATTACCTGATTGCCGTTTGATTGTGCGATCATGAAGTTGTATAATTTTCTCGCTTGAGGTAGCAAAGTAGCATAGTACAGTAGTACAGATTTGGGCGGGCTTATAAAAAATTAATTAAATTTTGATAGTATGCACGGTTAATATAGGCATGCAAAATTATTTTTTATAAGTTTATTTTAGATGACTCCTCCCTTAATTTTTATTTTTTTATTCGCATCAATCTTAATTTGATTGTTAATTACAATTGTTGCACTTTATTATTTATAATATTACAATACATACAAATAAATCAAAACTGTGATCATAATAATATCTTAATAAATCAAAATGATAATTAATGTGTGTTTAAAAAGAGTTAAAAAGGGTGAATAAAAGATAAATTAAAATGTGTTAAATATGACAAATATAAAATGTTAAGGAACTTAATTATTAATGCACATGTTTTGTTTGAAATACTGTTCAATCAACACCAAGTGTATCTTTTAAATATTTCTAAATCGCCTGTCTAAAATGCCTTGTCTAAAATGCCTTGTCTACAATGTCTTGTCTAAAGTGCCTTGTCTAAGACGCCTTGTTCAAGCTGTCTTTCTTAAAAGTGCTTTGTTTAAAACGCTTTGTTCAAAATGCCTCTCTTAAAACGCTCATCATTTGAAATATTTAAAAAATCTTTGTTATACTTCTCTAAAATGTTTCAAATATCAGAATTCATAATCTATAAATAAGACACTTCGAACCTTTTATCGAATATTAACAAGTAAAGCCATTATCTACAAAATACATATTACTAACAGTTTTTTAGTGAAAGTTTAACCAAAATGGACGATTACAATTATTATTCTACGAACGAAGATCCAGAAGAAGATACTGACCAAAATGATTATGAATTCATGTTTACTCATGATTATCTTGCTGCAACAAAGGCAAAAAGTTTATTAGAAGATCAAGTAATACATGACGAAGATAATAATATTGAAGATACATTATCTGAACATAATGATAATAATATAGATTATGACAAAATTTCAGAATCTAACATAACAAAACTGTCACCTTGTGTTATTGTCGATAATTTAAATGGACCAATCAGGCGTTGCAATTCAACAGATTCTCTATTATCACTGAGACAATTAATCATCACATGGGAAATAGAATTGAATCTAGATGAATCTTTAAACTTAATCGAATTGAGAGTTTGTTCTAATCATTTCAACTTCGATCATGGACAACTTCATTCGCCTGGTACTAAACAATTAAGCCGTTATACTAAAAGTATAATCTATAAAAAAAAATGCTTACTTTGCAATGAGTTTAAAAGGTTTTTTAGTAAAGGTAATGATTGTATAGAACATTGTTGGAATATATGTGGGAGAGATATTCAAGTTCTGTGTCTTGGTTTAAAATTGTGCCCTGTATTTCAAATAATTCTAAGAAATGCTTCGCGGTTTACTGGTGATGACAGATATATTAGATATATCTGCACAAAATGTTTCGAAAAATATGATAGACATCTTCATAAATGTTTAGAACCTGGAAAGTCTCAAACATGCATTAGTAACCAATTATATACAAAAGACGCTAACCATATTTTAAGACTTTTTCCATCATGATTATTTAACCTCTCATATTCTCAAAATGAAAATCAAAAAGAATAGGTATTACGGCATATTATAAAATTATTGGAAACCCCGGAATCATCATCCTCAATGGATACAGATTTTAATTTACCTAGTCCGTTGCTTGTAAAAATCTCCATGAAAATTAATAAGT